GGGGGAGGGGGGAGGGATGGCATTGGGAGTTATACCTGATGTAAATGACGAGGTGAGGGGTGCTGACGAGTTAATGGGTGCAGCACACCAACATGACACAAGTATACATATGTAACAAACCTGCACGTTATGCACATGTACCCTAGAACTTAAAGTATAATAATAATAATAATAAATTAATTTAAAAAAAAAAGAAAGCCACATGATAAACAAAGGCACATCTTTTTCAGGTGTAAATTGCTTAAAGCTTTTACAGCTATTTAAACGAGAGGCAAAATAAAACATTCATATTCGTTTTAAAGAAAAACATCTTTCTTCAAATGTATTTTTTGTTTTTAAGAGCTTACTTGGGGCTATATCTTCAGACTCTGTGTTTAATGTTATCTTTCCATTGGCTTTATGAGTGCTTTGCAGGAAAAGTCCAAGAAGTAGTAGGTACATTTGGTGATTTGTGTTTTACGTATTTAAGGAGAAAATATACCAATCATTAACATCTGTAGAGGGTTCAACTCTAGATAAAGCCACTTTCATATAATCTTTTCTGGGCTTCACTTCTTCCTCCAGACTGGACCACTGGGTAGCTTGAAGTTGTAAAAGCTTCAAGCAATTTACACCTGAGAAAGATGTCCCATTGTTTATCATGTGGCTTTCTTTACTTCCAGAGTTACAAGGGCCTCAGACTGTAACATCACAATAAATTGAAAGTACTTGTGATGTCTGAGTATTAGGTATTTATTCAAAGAACATCCCCATTTTACAGATTAGGAAACAGATTACCAAATGTGGGCTAGGGTCCTCCTGGGAATGGGCCAGGGGGAATGCTTGCTGTTGTTAAAGAAAATTATCCCAGACACTTGTTAAACAGAATGAATAATTTATTCAAGATTACTACAATAAGGGTCATGACTACTGGAACAGGAGAGAGAAATTGAGCTCAACTCAGAATATAGCAAAGACAGCAAGGGATTTATAGCCAAGGAACAAGCACCGTGTCTGTGAGGGAGGTGACGGTGGATGGAAAATTACTAACAGGAGACATCAAGGGTAGGGGGATTCTGGCTAAAGGCAGGTCAAGGGCTTCTACAACAAAGGTGTAATATAAGGAATCTAATCCATTATTAAATATCAAGAATTCAAGGGTGATCAGGTATCGAGGATGGATGATTTAGCACGCTTCTTGCTAACATTTGGGCCCAGCCAGGACACGGAGGTGAACGTTGAGGCCTAAGTGAGAAAGGGCTCAGAACTACCAAACTAAAGGAGAGCATCTCTGTTCCTGCCTACTCTGACCTCGTTTCCCCCCTTAAACTCAGTGGTAACAATCTGACCTCTTTATTACCTGATTCCCATGGAAGAGGGGGGGAGTGGCAGGCAGCCGGTGCTCCAGGATCGTTGGGTAGGGAGCCTAGCTCTCTGAAAGCAGCAATGCCTAGTGGGGGTACGGAGGCCGAGTTCGGAGACCACCCGAGTAATTGCGGTCCAGAGCAAAGCCCCCTGGATCGGAACGAGAGCTACCCTCACGCCCCGCCCGGCTGCCGGCAGCCGCACTTCTGGGCGGATGCCGCAGGTCGGGAGGGACGAGGCTGACGGCGCTGATTGGCTGACC